TAGATACCCATTGTAACTAATGCCTTGACCAAGACTTTGTCTTCTAATTCTTCATTAACTGAATCCAGTGTTGTCCTCTGCAGTACATTTTCTAGGTTTGCCATCAGGAAAAGCTGATGTAGCCTAAAATACATGCAGCTAATTGTTTTAGGGTTCCTGGGGAGACTTAATCAGACTGGATCCTTAAACGTGTTCATTTCTGTATTGTTTAAAATTCTCATTGGTAGCAAATTGAATGGGATACACTTTGTTATCATCAAGGGATTAACAGACTCTCGTCTTTAAAAAAAAAAAAAAAGCAAAGTAAGCAAAGTAGAGCCATTTCTTGAAGAATTCTGCCCCTTCTGCATTATTCTTCATCTCTGTTCAGTGCTGCCTCACCTCTCTTGAGAAGATTTCTTTTTAGAAAATCTCCTTTTAATTATCCTTAGCCCTCCAAAAGTGGGACCTCCACCAGCTTCAGCAAGCTCATTTATCACAAGACTTCTTGTCTTTTTTCACATTGTACTGGTAGGAGGTCAAGGAGCAGTTTGTGCTGTTTTACAGCATGTTTTGATGGTACTCCTGAATTCTGTGATCATCCTGACTTTTCTGTACATCTGGGACCTGTAGTTCTGAGTTTTCAGGAGCATGGTTCACTGCTCCCTTGATGAGGACCCACAAAGCTCCTTGAGATGGAGCAGCATTGCAGTGGGGAGCCAGGAACCACTGTAGGCTTGGCAAAGGCAGCGCAAGATTTGTCTGTACACCCACAGCCTCTGACTAGACGCAAAGCTTTTTAAGTAGCTAATGTTAGGTGTGATGATTCTTCTCTCTATTCACTTTCCACTGTGCAGGTACATGTGTGGGTTGTACTGACATGTTATTAATGATTCTTGAAGCAGAATGTGTGAGAAGAGGCAGATGTAGTGCATGGCAAATCAGCGTGAGTACGCTACAACCTTGGGATTGGGTAGTGATGCTTTTGTTTTCTGCTATATAAGCTCTCGGAGAGTATCCTGGAAAAAAGTGGGATTGTCACTGCTGTTTTGCTCATCTCTCTCTACATTTTAGTGTGTTTACCTCTGATTTGGCATTCCGTCATCAAAGTATTAAACTCAGAAATAATGCAGTCAGTGCATTTAAGCTGAACACATCAAGTGCAACATTTCTAGCTAATTGTTGGACAAAAAAGATAAGGAAAATAATACTAAAACTTGAAAGGGAATGCTTCTGGACGTGTTATTTTGTTATGTATGAGTACCTGGAAAAAGTACACTATGGATAATACTTGAAATCAGCCAAAATCTGACAAAAGAAGCAAATGGTCTTATGTCAAAATATGTGCTAGTTATCTCTTGTTCTTTTGGACCAAAGCATATGTGTTTCATAGTAGCTCTGTATCAAAGCTTTGAAACTGAGATTTTAAATACTTTGTCAAAATGAACCCTGTACCATAAACGCTATCAGATGCTTAATTAAGACTGCAGTAGCAAGGAGCATGTTTGCAGTAAATTATGGAGAGGTGTTCTGGCATGTTTTATCTATGTAAAGGTTTCTATTTTTATGTGAAGCTATTTACAGATTATCGATTTCAAAAATAGATTTGTAACTAAAGAAAGATGCATTGGATTTCACTTTCTCAGAGTTGAGAATCTTGCCTGGCTGGCTGCCCGCTCTCTTAGATGTTTATCCCAGTGGCTTACAAGTGTATGGAGTTATTCAGCCCTTCTTATTTTGCTCTCTCTACTTAGAAGAAGGCATTTATATTCAGGGATCAGGTCCCAGGTCTCTTACCCACACAGGTAGGCTCATCTTCACACCTTTGAAGCATCAGAACAATTTCATTGAAGTCTGTGGGATGTTTTGTGTGAGTAAGACTTTTGGGTGGAAAATATCCATCACAGTATCTTTTGTCAGTTGTTACTGTTTTATTTCAGAGCAGTAAGCTATTGTCACAGTGCCAGTGGAGCCTGCTAAGCTGTAAGGCTAAGCCTTTGAGTTTGTGTAATAGAAAACTTCAGCATAAGATTTTTTTTGTTTATGCTGTGTGAACACTAAAAGAAAGATTTTAATAAATAAATCAGGGCAGAAGTAATATCTTTTATTAGAGCAACATATAGAGTTTGAAAACTTAGACATGCTTGTGTGTCCAAGGTCTTGTCTATTTTTTTCCAGCCATACCAGTTTGTCTAATAAAAGATACTGCCTCTGTCTACAAACCTTGTCCTGCCTATGAACTCTGTTCATCACAGCTACAGCAAAATACTGCTGGATTGTTAAAATAATTCAGGCCTTTTTTGCTTATTATGGAAACTCAGATTTTTCTGGTTTCTTCACATCTCAGCTTTTTGAATCCCAGCACATATGAAATGGTGCTGTCTGGTTTCTGCTACTGTAGGGGAGGGTTTCACCATATAGGAGCTCCAGCAGCTGCACCACTTCCTCATTTCAGAAAGGATGCTGTAAAAGGTAGCCTGCTAAAATTCTTCTGCCATCTGGATCTTAGGGTATTTTGTATGATACTACTGGTGAACTATCAGATGTCTGGCATGGATGGCTGCTGGGAGCAGTCTTATCCTAGTACCTGTGTCAGCATCTCTGATGTGCTGTGATGGTGATGGGAAGCAGAAGTGGGAAGAAGAGGCTGGCAGAATGGAGTCTGGCTTTGGCTGCGGGTGTAAATCTTTCAGTCTTGCTATGTGTCTGGCTGGGTAAGCAGAATAGTGTAGGCCTCCTAAATGGCAGGAAGCTTGGATTTGGACTTGTTTCAGCTGGAAGACCTGGAAGGCCCAGAGCTGTCTTAAGCGTCATAAGACCAGCCGTGCAATATTTTTTTCAGAACTATTTAACATGCCTTTTAGAGGCCTTAAATGTATATGTCTTTTGGATCTGAATCTGTAGCTCTAGGTCGGTAGCTTTAAAATAGCTCCATGTGAGACCAAGGTGGTGATGATCTGGACCATCTTGAGATATCCAAGGGGTAGATGCTTTTCCAGCCTCTGGGGACACAAGCACTTCGTGTGATTGTCAGTCTTGAGGTCATACCAGATCCCTCACTGTGCTACATACCTCTTCGCTGCTGACCTGGAATTTGTCACTTCAGCACAGCCGCTGCTCCTCTCCCAAGGACTGCTGCAGCCCTTGCTGCCGTAAGGAGCATTTCTGTAGGCAGTGCTGTGTGTTTGAAGTGAAACATGTTGATGCCTGGGGGCTGTTTAGTTCTGTGCCCTGTGCTGCCTTCCATCTGCCTTTGACCATGGCTTAAATAGTTGGTAATTACTTATAAGCCCTTGATGTTGGTGGCCTGGGCTATTTTAGAAGCTGCTTCTCCCTGCATGCCCTGTTGTGGAAGTTGCGGCTGGCTGTAATGGCCTGTCACCCTCGCGCTGTGTTGACCTCCTCTCCTGGGTGTGTTGCAGGGAATTTGGAGGGGGAGAGCTCTCAGCTCTGGCATGCAGTCCCTTGGGCTGCCTGCCAGGGCCTAAATTTGGTGACCTTTAGGATATGGCAGAAGATGCGTTTGTAAACCTTGGTTATAGTAACTGGGAGACAAGCAGAGAATGCTGGAGGAGGGAGGATTTACAAGCAAGCTGTTTGCCCTCTGTTTGATTTTTATGACCAGCAACTAGTAGGTAAATAGACTAACAAATGCTGTGATAATTGCAACTGTTGCTCTTTAATCAAATTTAAAACTAAAAAAAATATACAGATTTCCTCTAGGAGAGCGAGCACATGCGTGGCCGCTGAAAGTTCTGTGACTTCTGATGTTGGTCTGGACACTCGCTCTACTCTCTACTTTGATGAAATCATCTAGTTTCCCTTCCATAAAACGAGGGCAGTCATATTTTAAAGGTGTCTAGAAATGGTTTCTGTATCATTATCCCTGTAGCTTGTGGGTGGTTTTGTCTCTTTTAAGGAAGAGCAAACAAGCCAGGCCCTGTGGTCCAGCAGTTGTGTGGGTTACACAAGAATATGGTTTCATGTTACACCTAATTTGGTATAACTGTGGGATGCGTCTCCCATCCTGTTCTTCACACTGGCTCTAATGATAACCATTGTGGCAGGTTGAGCTGGGTTCAGCCTGCTGACCAGTGGAGAATTACCCAGGTTTTGTTTGCTTTTCATCTGTTAGTTTTGATGGGGGAGGATTTGGACTTGAGAGCTGAACGGACTCAGTGTGTGGCTGCTTCATCATCCCACCTGGTGCCAGGGACACAGCAGGATATGCATCTGGGTGGAAATGGGGGGCAAGAGGATCGCCCCAGTGTGTTAAAAACACAATTGGGAAAGGTACCCCTATTTCCTCACTGCAGGGCCTTCCTGATGGGAAGGACTGTCTGGTGGTTTGGTTTTGACAAGCAGGACTTGTGAAAAGGGTGCAGATGTTTGTGAATGAAGGTCTGCTGGTGAAATGAATCTTCTGGTGATTGCATGGCTGGTGTTACAGGTTTGCAGTGTGTTCTTGCTCTATTTGAATGTGGCTGACCTGCAGAGGACAAAGGATCATCTTTCTACTTTCTTTCCAAATGTTTCTGTTAATTTAGCATCAGTTTGAAGTTTTGTCTTTCTTAGACATCGAATGGTCGGGGACAAGGCTCTATTTTTGCTGTGTGGTAAAAGTGGGAAGGTCAGTCCCCCCGGGGTTTTTGGGGTTTGCCCTGTCTCATTTTTCTCATGTACAAAGAGTGGGTTTTCCATCCCCTATAGCTAGTGCATATGTGTAACTCTAGGGTCAAAAATGAAACAAAGTCTGTTTCTAAATGCATTTTCACCACAATGGATAGGAATGTCTTTGTAGTTTCAACCATGTGCAAAAGCCTTCCCAGCTCTCTGTTTTAACACCCTATCTCATCAAACTTCTTGGAGAAAAGTGTCTTACTTGACCTGCAAACTCAGATCATTCCACCGGGTGCTTTGCAAGACTTCCTGGGTGGCATTGCATCTCTTCATAGCAGGAAACAGATGACTTTCTGGTGAAACAAGCCATGAACCAAGCTTTTCTTTTCTGTCTCTTTCAGAAATAAATAAGCATTTGAAGATGACGACCTCATGGAGCGACAGACTCCAGAATGCAGCCGATCTCCCTGCAAACATGGATGGGCATGCCCTGAAAAAGTACCGACGGGAAGCCTATCACCGGTGAGTCGTTCATGTAACCCCAAAACTGAAGTGCTGAGACAGAGGGAAACAACCTAAGCATAAAAACCACATTTCTTGGGTTTTGCTTGTTGGTAAAACAGAAAGGTACATTCTTACCTTCCTTGTAGAAGGGTTAGTAGAAGGGAACTTGGAATATAGCACGGTATTGGCCTGAAGGAACTTACAAACAGTGGAGTTGAGATACATGTACTAGAGCAAGTGAGGGTATGCTTTCTTTAATCCAAGTTAGATTTTGGGCTAGAAGCTTTCAAGTCAAGAAATACTCAGCATTGGAAGTGTTACAGTAATTATTGGAGTGCACACTGGGAGAGCATAGCCTTAGGCACTGGAATGCACAAATATGAATAAAGAGGAAATAAAATGAGATCAGAAATTAAGTGTTTGAGAATTATATCTAGTATGCTAAATTGTGTGCACCACAGGTGCATGTGGAATCACTAGGCAGGATCTCAGCCTCCTTTCTGTGGTAGATGTGCTTAAAACCATCTTTGCTGTAAAACAATTTTAGTCTAAATAAACAAGACAGAGTACAGAATAAAAGAAATGTCACTCTTATATTTGGGAATCAAAGTATAGACACTAAATTGTTTTCACAAGATCCCATTGGAGGTTTGGTTGAGCCAAGAATTTAGCCCACACCTCCCAAGATTCCAGGTACAGAGCATAAAAGATGGATACAGTCTGTATCCTTATTATATATCTGGACTGTTACGGGGCTAAAAACAACAGCATTGAGTAATTGTCAGTATTCTGATTGTGGTAGGTGTATTTTCAAAGTTTAGCTTGTTTAATTTGGGAAGTCATGCAGTGTGATTATCAGAGTATATTCTGCGGGAGTTGGGGAGACATATGTCTGATACAGAAACAGAAAAAGAAGTCAAGCTTCCCAACCTCATGCTTAAATGCCACGTTGCATTTGTGATTCATATATGGTGGTATTTATGAGGAAGTATTTGAAAATGTTAGGTATCTCTTGATTCTCCAAATGAAATATAATATGAGAAAACTGCATTAGCATCATCTGATAGGCCAGGCTGTGCAGGGTGCAATATCTGAGGATAGGTAATGGATCCTGTGATGAATTTCTGAAGCTTTTCAATTTCCAGTGAATATGTTTGGACACATGTCTTATGTGACAGCATTATTTGAGTCTCTCTGTGTCAAGTGTTTTGTCAGACATAGAAATGTCTTATGAATGTAACTATATATGTCATGTGAAAAGCAAGGGATTTTTTACCATTCCCTGGCAAAGTCTTCACCTTGTTGAAGTCGTTGACAGGTTTACATTTGTGTCACAATTTTACAGATGATTTTAGTTGTGTTACTCCTGATGTAGGCTGTTGGAAACCAAGTCAGAGTAAGGTTTGTTTTTTTTTTTCCCTGAAGTATTTCCTCAACATTTGTTATGGTTAGGTGCTGACAGTTTGCTAAGTGTTGTACAAGATCCAAAGGAAGCAGTACTTATCCTTAAGAGCACACACATTCAAGTTCTCATCATATTTACCTTACTCTTTTAAGAAATCTTTACTTTCAGAATTTCCCTATGGAAGATGAGAGTTCACTCATATAAAGGAGTGTTTCCCAGTAGGAGCTGGGATAGGTAGTCCAAAATTAATCTGTGGTACAGTTTAAGTGCCCTTTTTTAGAATCTAGAAATGTCTTACTCAAAGCATACTGGGCAGAAATGTTGCTAGCACTTCAGATTTTCATGGAAAGCACAACACTGGATATACATTAAAGGGAGACACGTGCTTTTTTTAAACTACTATCCTCTTTTAAAAAGAGAGGGAGGAATGGGAGAGAATAAGAGAACCCAGTGCCAAGACTGTAGTATAAATCTCTGCTATTAATGGCTTTGGTGTACCAGTTTCATGGGAGTTATTTTGATAATCTAGTATTGTAAGAATCTGAAACAACCTCATTCCAGTGGCAGTGTTGTCAGATTTCTATTTCTGGTATTTTTTGTGATCTCAGTGTTAACAGATGTGATGTTACTTGAAAGGTAAGTGCAGATTCAAGGAAGGACTTTTAAGGATAAAGAAGGACTGAGGTGTTTCCTCCTTGTTGTTCTATAGTATGTATTTTTTAGTATTTTTATGATTGTTTAGATGTGGAAACAGTCATCGGTTCTGGGATATAAGTTTGTTTCAGTGAGGTCCAAGTATGCTCTGACTCTTGGATTATGCTAAAGCACTGGCAGTCTTATGAAAAAAAATATGAAAGACAAGGCATTCACTGTGAAGATTATTTTCTTTCTCTTCCTTTTTATTTCTCTTCCTCTTTCTTTATCTTTCAGTCTCTCTCCTTTTTTCTGTCTCTTTTTATTCTTACTCTAGGAGCTAAAGGGAAAACCCTTGAAAACATGAATCTAAAGTGACTTAGAAGCAAAAACAATGAAAAAGAACACTGAATTTAAAACTGTTACTTTTTGAGTTTATGTTTTTACCTTAAAGGTGGTTCCAGTGATTTTATGGACCCAGTCCTGGAAGGCTGAAGGAGCTTGGCAGCATTTGCAGATGAGCATAAATGTAAAATGGAGCTGGCTTTTGATAGCAATGTTGGAAGCCCAATTGGGCTCAAAGTCATTCATTAGGATTTTCTAAATGCTTCTAGTAATGCGTGGTTTTCTGAAGTGTGGAGTTTTAAAAGCTTGTTTCATTGTTTGTTTACTTCATGCTTACCTAAGTATTGGCGGAGATACCTATACCAATGGTTTTAACTTTCCAGTTCTCATGAACTATGCCAGATTTGATATGCTTGAGTTTTAAATTCTGAAACAGCATAAAATAAAGCAAACAGTTTCCAATATAAGCAAAATATTTACCTTAAAAACCAAAAATAATGTTGTTGTGGGGTGTGAAACATTCAAAAAAACTTTACTAAAAAAATAAACTCTGAAGATGCCACTCTAATAGTCATATTTTACTGTGGTTGTTCATACTAGGAATGTGTTTTTTCAGGTGTAGCGCTTCTTATTGTATCATACTTGATGGATGGATGTTCAACATATCACGTTGTTGGCAGAAATCCCAGCTGAGACTGGTTTAACTGGTGTAATGCATACTGACTCAGAGTACAATGACTATATCGTAATTGTGTCTGAATGCCATAGGCAAGAATGTTCAAAATCAAATATTTATAGCTGTTTTCCTCTCATAGCTGTTTTCCTCCCCAGAAGTTTTGCTTGGTGTTTGGATCAGTTTGTATAGCTGCTTAAGAAATTGAGGTTACTGATGAAGTAAGAAATTGAGGCTACTGATAAAGTAAGCAAAACTTGTGAATGTGAACATGTATACTGTGCTGCACAGAGGCTAGAAAAGCAACATTGAGAACCAGAAAAGTCTGTAGGGGAGGAGAAGTGGTGGGGATTTATCTTCAGGGTATTTCTGATGACTTTAACTAAGACTTTCAGTTAGATAGTGTTACTATCAGCCATGAACCTTGTTATACAACATTGTTGGCGCCTGTTGGAGGTGAGGTCTAGAGATGAATTAATATACAAGCTAGATGTTATTCATTCTCTAGCAGAGGTCACTGGTAAGAGGATACTGCAATACTGTGCTATTGGCAACATACATTTGAATTCGGAAATAAAATGGATGTGTAGTTGTTAGGTGGCTTTTCTTTAGTGTGTGTGGTTGTGAGGCCACCTCCCTCATGCACTGCTTGTTGACTTTTCCGGGTAGAGGATAATCACTAGATCATTTGTTCTGGAGGAGTACTGTCGTTTAACGTGATTGTAATTAGGCAAGAACTAGGTTGACTCTGAGCCACCAAATTGCCCTAGTGTCTATTTTTTAACTTGGAGTGAACACTTCTAGGCACTCTCTGGATTATCTCACATAGCTCTTTAAGGTTTAAATAGCAACCACATCTAGTTAAAGCAAATAATGGAAAAAGTTGGTGTTCCATCCACTCTTGTTACTGACAGTTACCAAGATGCAGGAAACAGGTATTTGCATTTATATTTATTTATTCTGGTTTTGGTTAAACAGGGCAGTAAAGCTGAAATGGCCTTTTTGTTAAACATGAGGACTTTGGGATGCTTTTACCATTTTGCATCAGAGTAATTTGAGACTTCTCATCCTGAACATGGGATTTCTGTTGTTGTTTTAGTTTTCTTTTCTTGCTCTCTTGTTTACTGGCTAGCGCAGGGGATGTGGCATTGTTATTCCTAATCCTAGTTCTTCTGCTGACTGGTCATAAAGTATTGAATAAGTTGGTTCATAGTTTTGTGCTTCAGTTTCCTTTCAAAGCATTTTATGGTGGTAATCTGAGTTAAACAATTTAAACTGTTAATATACACTGAGATTCTGAGTAAAAAAAAAAGGTTATATACTTTAATAATGACAAAGCAAAAGGATTAACAATTGGTTGTCTTGATTTTGAGGGTTAAAGATGTTTTTTAGTTTGTTCAAATTTTGAAACTGGGCTATTCACTGCTAATTTAGTTTTAGTTTGGTACTGGATCATCAGCAATTGCTAGAGGTGGGAATGTTATATACTAGGCTAAGAGGTTTGAAACTGCTTATCCATTTGGGTAGGTGTACATAAAGTCTCTTTAAAATTCAGTTCACTGAAGTGGCAAATGAGAAAAAAATCTTTACCAGTCTGAAAATGCTCTTTTCGTCAGAGATGTGTGGTATTTTCATGTAACTGTACATGAGGTACCTCTGTAGGCACTGCTGGCTATAGTCTGTTCTCATATGTCTTGATGCAGTCTCCTTGGACTCGTGGTGACATGCATGTAGCGGAGAGCAGCGTGTGGCTCTCTATTTATTCTGCTTTAGTGCTTCAGACATGGGAGAGAGGAGGGAGAGGGAGTGCTAAGGCGGCAGAATGGGCGAGCTTACGAGAAAGCAGAACGCTTGCCAAATTAATAATAAAGAAATTACATGGAAAATGTCCCATGATCCCTAGCCTTAATAGTTTCACAGGGCAGACGGGTGTTATTTTGGGATGGAATCCATAGTGAGCTT